ATCAGTGCGAGAGAATCTCTTACTTATGAGCATCGCTTTCTTGTTGGGTTAGTTCTTTGTCTTTTTTCCTTGTCTTCATCTACTCCAATACAGTGCGAAACTTCAATCAGAAAAGCTGCTGAGAAGATTATCTATCACACTTTTAATATATGAGTGTAGTTGTAGTACTCTGTCACGACTGTTATGACTTGATGTGCTTTTCTCTCTGGTGCTTATAGCAGTAAATGCTATTGTTATTGGCTGTCATCAGATTGCTTTTAGGGACATATTCGGTTTCAGTTTGAACAAGAATTATTCGAATCTGATACAAACTCTTTACTATAGTCAATAGATGTTTTCCAGGGAACAAAAATGATGCGGTTATATGGAGAGGTGCGAGAAAAAATGGTATGATCAAGCAATTTCTTCGAGACGTCGATTGGGGAGAGGTGCTTTACTTTCCCGGAATTTAATAGCTTATGTGAATCTGCAGCTTTTGCTTCCATAGATTATTCCTATTCGATATTCAGGTCGACTATCTCCTTATCGATACTCCACCAGGTACATCGGATGAACATATCTCGTTAGTACAGTTTCTATTGCAAGCAGGAAGTCTTGATGGCGCGATCATCGTCAGCACACCTCAAGAAGTGTCATTGTTGGATGTGAGAAAGGAAGTGAGTAAGCAATTTGCGAAAAATTGCAGTTTTTGCTTGAAAATGATTCTAACTTGACCTTATTTAGGTCAGCTTTTGTCACAAAACAAAAGTTCCAATATTGGGAGTAGTTGAGAACATGGCAAAGTTTGTGTGCCCACATTGCAATCACACTAGCATCCTTTTCCCTTCAACCACTGGCAAGTTTTGGGGATTTTTGAACATCCTCAACTTATGTACTGCATACCATGTTCACAATGCAGAACCCCTTTTTTCTTTCATTTTTTCTCTGATAGCTGATTCATCTTAGTATCACTCTTAGGTGGAGCAACAACGATGTGTGAGGAAGGGAAGTTGGAGCTTCTAAGCCAGTTGCCATTAGAACCCGGCCTTGCTAAGGTACCACCTTTTTCTTACTTCCTTATAATATTAATTTCTCGTCCCATAGATGGGAGTGTAAATGCAAGTTCGAAAGCAGGGGCCTGTTCCGAGTATGAAATTGATAGGTTCCGCTTCAACTGCGGTAGCAATGATGTTGTACTTGATTTGAGAATGGTCCTAGTTGTGTATCTTTTAAGATTCATATTAATGTGTCATTTCTTCTTTTCACAATCAGTTCAAGTCAAATTCCTCCCTGTTTCCCCACTGCGAAAACATCGTTGCACCGGCATTTTTGCAGGCTTTGGACAATGGAGAAGATTTCTTCGAAAAATATCCTGATTCAATGCTTGCAAAGACGTTCATGAATTTAGCAGAGAAGGTGAAATCTAAATTGCAATAGAGACGTTCAAATTTTTAGAATTTTCGATAGACTGATACATTTACTAGAAATTTTGTCTAAGAGGTCTTTTAGACATTCCCCACCATTGATGTTGATGTGATGATAATTTCCTTCATGTTGCTATAATTGGTTCTGTTAATAACTAATGTATTAAATTACTTCGTTGTTGAGTTTTACAATGCTTGTCAGTTGGATTTGTTGTTGTGAAGTCTCCATAAAAAGTCTTTGCATAAAGAAAGTTATCTTAATAAATGTGATGTAATTTGTTCGTCTGGGTATCAGCAGAGTTTTGAATTATTTGTTATGATTCCTTTAGCATTTTTATAGGAAAAAGGTACAATTACGCCTTTGTAGGACAAGGTTTTACATTACGCCATGTATCGGGTGGTTGTCACCGGTATGGGTGCCATCACACCTTACGGTGCAGGTGTAGCTGCCCTTCAGAAGGGGTTATTGGACAGTCGATCTGCTTTGAAGTTCTCGGAGCAGTTGGGATTTGTGGTTAATTTGCTTTTGCTTTCAATTCCAAGATATTGGTTGGATTTCATTTATCGAAGTACAACCTACTTGAGTGTGTCAGGCAGTTTTGATGATCTTTCAAATCAGTAGTTCAATTGAAAATACCACCACTTTTTGACTGATTTAAAATATGAATTTCTGATTGTTGTTTCAAATAGACTGTTTGCGGTCTTGATAAATCAAAACTTCCTCGAGAAAAGGGTTTGAAATAAATACGCACATATAGATCTCAAAGGAGAAACCTGCAACATTTATGTGTCCAATTTCTATGAATACCGCTAATTTTGTCATAGGTGGGAGCTATTCCTGAAGGATCAGCTGATTTTGATCGATGGAGTGCTGGACAGAGGAGAGAAATGAGCCGAGCAAGTCAACTGGCATTATTAGCTGCTGAAGAGGTGACTCTTTGCCTCGCTTCATATCAAAAGTTAGGTAATTGAACCTTGTGAAGTAAATCATCTCACTCAGGCAATGTCCACATCAAATGCACAGAGCTTAGACCATAAAGATACGCTAGTCAATATTGGGACAGGAGTAGCCGATCTCGTGGAGATTAGCAAAACCGCAGAGCTCGTACAAAATGGAAAATCCAGGT